TAGGTTAGTTCTAGACAATAAGGATGATATATCCATTGTTAATTCCAACAATAATGATGACCTTATTCAATACCATGTTTGATTACTTGAATGCATTCTCGGCACATATTTTTTGAAAGTAAATGTTCTTAAAATAAGAGGTCTCAAACGGTGGTGGTTATAACCAATGTAAATTCATATGAAGATCTTTCGACATGTTACATTATACATACCTTTAGTACATGAATTTCACTGTGCTTCCCTCTCATTTATCTAGAGATAGATAATGGAGAAATAAATCATTATGTGTGTAGGGTTCTGGAGATTGATGAGTTTCTATTCAGGTCATGAACCAGTCAATGTTAGACCACCATTGAAGACCTGGAAGTACTGGACGGTCAGTTCGTCGTAGTATGTAGTCCCATACTTAACACCATGATAATCCAGCTCTGTGGTCTAATGCTTAAGCGTCCTCACACGAAACTGAAGGTCCTGGGTTCGAGTCCCACATGCGTCATAGCGGATGCGCACTGTTGAGGAGTCCCATACCATAACGAAACGACTGTCCAGTGCTTCCGCGTTTCCAGTGGTGGTCTAGCTTAGACCGATTCATGATCTCAATATAAACCACTATTGTTTGATCGTTGAGTAGCTGCTAGTGTCATGGCTCATTAGTCCTTAGCATTGATCGGATTCTATCTGTCAAGCTGCTATATAGCCACCAGTCTAAATAATTCGAAATCGCGTCCATGATATTTTCAAGTTAAAAATAATCGTAAGCAGTTAGCGGTAAATCTTTAATTTAGGTTTCGTACTAGTTGTCCCTTTTCAACAAAGTATATCTGGGATCCTGTGAGGACCAATGTTTCCTGTGAGATTCGAACTCATACCACCCAAATTCATAATCCGGAATGTTATCACTAACCTGTTCAAAGTGTGACCAGTACAAGACCATGATCATACAGATTTTATCACCGAACAATTCCAACCACCATTGCTGTCTCGCAAAAATTTATAGTAACCAACTTCGTGATAGTATGTAAGCTATTTAAAACACCGTTTGATGAGTTCATTAGATGTTTATCGAATAATTTAAAACAAACCTAAAATCTGAAAATTTATTGCAATGTTTGCACATTTTGAAAATAGATTATTAGAAACAATTAGTTAATTAATCAGTTTCAGACTAAAACAGAAAAGAAAGGTTTTTCTTCTATTTCTCGCTTATATATTTTTCTATTCGACTGTCAATGGTATTTTATGATGTAATATCCTTCACTTATTTTCCAAATATCTTATTTTCATTCGTTTCTACTTTGTTTATTCGTATTAATTTTTAGGGGAGATAATCAACGTTTAGAATTCCTTGGTGATTCTTTGTTGAAATATGTGTCAACAGATTATTTATTTCGACATTTTCCACGACATCATGAAGGACATTTATCATTGTTAAAAAATTCACTAGTGAATAAATATACACAGGCATCTGTATGCAGTGAGTTAGGCTTAGAAAATTATGTTATACGTCGTGAAGATAATAGTATGCATAAATACGATTGCAAAATTAATAATAACAATCATTCTACTAATAATAACATATCAAAACATTCAAATCCGTCTTGGAATACTACTTATATAAGTAGTCAAAATTCAAATATACTCAGATCTAAACAAAATAAAAAAGGTGGTCAAAACAAGTTATTAATTCAGATGGAAATAAAAATGCCAATTGTAATAATCCACAAATCAAAATGTAAAATACAGAGCTGATTTATTGGAAGGTAATTATGAGATTGTGAATTATGTTTACTGATACCATCATCATCATCATTGTTGTTGTTGCAAACCTCATTTGCAAAGTATAATATGTATGTGCTCAGTCTAAGAGGTATGGCATATTTTGTTTATATGTAGTAAATTTTTATTCAAACTGAGTTTTAGGTAGAATGGGAAGTCCAGCTGTATAGCACATAATGGTTTAAGGTCAAATATTTTAAGTATGAAGTCTTGACAGGACCGAACAAAACAATCTATCGTTTTATCAGGAACTCGGCATTAAGGAATTAGGAGAATAATTGACTGTCAGCATGTTTGACACACAACAACATTATGAGCAATTTTATATTTTTGATGATCATTCAAGTGATAAGTTTTGTACTCTGAATGCTTTAAATAGTCTTCTTAGTCGCGTGAAATCTTTGACTCGTGATCATCCCCTTCTTTCGACGGAAAAAATTAGGCGAGAAATATGAAAACTGTATTCCAATGATAAAATTATATTCAGGAAACAAAGTTATTTATAGGATTATGTTGAAGTTCTAAGTTTTGAGAAAAATGCCAAGATTGGTAACAAGTTTGTGATAATCAAATTACTATAATATCCACAAAACTCCTTCTAATACTAAGCGTAAGCAATTGTCCTTTCTTAGACATGTCCTATCATCTTGAAATGTCCAAAATATTCGTAAATTTTTTCACTGACTTCTGAAGAGTTTTTTTGAGGAGTTACGCGATGGCTTCTAACATTGTAGGTGCTCATTGTGTTGACAAGTCTCAGATTTAAGAAAGAATAAACATTCCATCCTCTTAGACAGTGTTTCTCAGAATGAAGCTAATTCGTGGCGAATATTATATAGATGCTAATGTACGTATATTTATTTTCAGATGTTCAGACTGAATTAAAATGTTTGAGCGTTTATAACTACAATTTGATTAGTCATTTTTAGTGTCGTATACAATTAACTTGACTGAAAATTGTAAGTTTATATCAATTTTAATACATAACGGTGACTGTATGTAATGTTGTTGTAAGTTTATGACTCCATAATATCAATGAATCAAGTGTTGTTTGAATGAAATAATGTATTATTATAATTTGACACGGCCCCGGTATGGCCGAGAGTGGGGTGGGCCCGCCCTTCCTCTCCAAATGCTCTCACACGGCCACGCGTATACAGCCTCTGCCAGGGAAGTCCTACTCACTGCCTTCTCGTGGCGGGGATGTTGTTTACGGAAATGAGAGGACGGAAAGCGAATGTCCGGCGCTTTAACCGGATCACAAACCAATGGTGTACATGGGCTCCAGTATCCAGTGGGAACAAATGGCGTATGAACCAATCGTTGGTCACCGGCTACCATGGGATTGCATCTCCTTACGATGCTCCACTGCCTTGTGGGTTAGACCTTCAGGTCAAAGGCTCGGGAGTGGCCCCCTAAGATAACCACCTGATTCGGTCTGGGCACCCGAGCAGTATCACAGCCCTCACACAAATCGGATGATTTATGTGGCGCATATCTATTTGGTGCCTCCCTGTACCAATATCTATATGTTTAAATAAATAAATAAATTCCATTACGCGACGTTAAAATTGCCTTATTTAAAGCCTCACATTGCAAACTAACGTTCGTTACATAACTGTTAAAAACCAGATAGTACTGAATAGTTGCTTTGTTCTAGTCTACAGGAAATTAAGCTTTGCTAATTGACAACTCCACAAAGTATCGAACTTAGGGCATCCAAGTCTCACACCAACCAGCTAACTTTCAGACCATTAAGTCAGCGCATACAACAGTTTAAGCCACCAACTATTAATTTACAATACTGTACGACTATTATCAATTCCTGACATTTATCACATATCCGATATTGTTGAACTGTAGTGTCGGTTGCTATGTAAAGCCCACACAACTTATTCTAGTTTCTGGACAAACTAATTTGTTCTTCTCGAGTCACATTTTGACGTCAATTATTCGCTTATCATCCTTGGCTCTTTTTATATGAGTGTGTGTGTGCACCTCTTATCCTATTAATCACATATCTGTAACTTATTTTAGTCTGACCATAAATATTGATTAACGCTTGACTAAATTGAGTTGCCTCACACACCATCTCCACTATGCGTTATTTCGCTTCGCTTTATTCTCTTCGCTTCTCTAGTCTTTTGTCTAGATCATCGATTGTATGAAATATACGTATTCGAAATTCATTCTCGTATTTGACTTATTTAATTCCGCTGTTCACCAACGTGATTTAAGTCGATGATAATATACGAGAATAGTCAGGATGTATATTTCGACAGCAATTATTTGATAGCAATCAGAAACGATCCAAATGGAGTCATATATAGGGCCTCCAAACGATTGTACTAATTACGGCCTGTAGTGTCAATTATGCTAAGCCCATATATCTTATTCTAGCTTTCGGACACCCCATTCTATTCATTCTACTTGAGCCATACTTTGACCTTGTTATTTATTCGCTTATCAATCTAGACTGTTTTTATATGAGCGTATATGTGTGTGCCCTTCTTATCCCATTAATCACATGTCTGTAGCTTTATTTTGTCTGACTATAAATATTGAGTAACGCTTGACTAAAATGGAGTTGGCTTCCCAGCCATCTTCCCTGCGTGTCATTTTGCTTTGCTCTGTTTCATTCGCTTCATATACAAAATATATGTATGCACAGGTCAATTATCGTTATTTGACTTATTTAATTTCGTTATTGACTAACGTGATTTAAGTCGACGATGATATACGAGAAAAGGCGATAACAAACATTTATACGATATAAATAGGAGTCAGATCCACGGGCCACTAAAATGGTGAGCCCTTCAACGAACATCGTCCGACCTAAATGAGGACAAAATTAAATTACGGGCCACTAAAGGCCTCCCAGCAGAATTCCGGAAATTATCTTTTGAAATCAACGACTGTTCAGTATATGGTGGTTGTTATTGTAAGGTATTGAATTTGAGGTTTAATGTCATGAACTGAATTATTTTGATGTTATTAGTGTTTCTTTGACTTTCTTTTTTCATCTTGTCATCTCGCTTATTGATGTGAAATGCAGATGAACCGACGCACACTTTATCTACTTACTGTCTATCTGACTAACAGATTATTAAATAACTATTATGCCATATATCTATAGTAATATTACAATTTTAATTCATAACGTTTAAAAAACGCCCATTACATAATACCACTGTTTCTCTGTTTTCCCTCGTCATATTTTTAAAATTTTCGCTTTAGCATTTATTGGTGCATTATTTGTCGATAAAGATTTAACATGGGTTGAACGTTTTTGTCAAATATGTTTTTGGCCACGTCTTGTTGAGTTTATTTTAAAACAAGAATGGAATGATGCCAAATCAAAATTACAACAATGTTGTCTCACATTTCGTTCATTAAATGAAGATCCAGAAATTGCACATTATAAAGTTAGTTTTCAAACGAAAACTCCCCTTTCTGTTTTACTACCGTACTCTATTAAATTAAAACAAACTAAGGTTATAAAGTTTTTATTTCCATTTGTGATTATACACTTGTTTCATCTGCGCCTTGATTGCTCAAAATATCCCTGGGAATAACGAGAACCCTAGCTTTTCTGTTATTTTGTCAAATCATATTTTATCGGTATGGGGATTTGTGGAGATTGTAGTATTCGCACAGTTGAAATAACGAACCAATCTAAGCTAGAAAACCATTGGAAACCTGAAAATGCTGGACAGTCGTTTCTTTCTAGTAGTATAGGGCTGCTCGGCGGTGAGCACCCACGATCCCTCACGCAGGACTCGAACCAAGGACATTCGGTCTCGTTTATGAACGCTTAACATTTAGACCACTCAATCGGCATCCAACAATGTTCATGTCTAACTTCATTAAAAACATAATCCTTCTCACCCTGTTGTAACGTGTAACTGCAGATTAGATGCGCAGCGTATTATCGATCGGATCAATGACACGTAAACACGCAAGGAACGACCTAGAGTCCCGATTGGCCATGCTTCGCTGTCTAGCCCAGCCATTTGAGTCCAGAACACAAGTCTCAGCCTCTGAGATATGAATCGTTATATTTCAAACATACTCTGTTTATATACCAATCAACCAGACCACATCGTACCATAAAATAGAAAACAACATTTGTACAATATTTAACAAGTGAAATAAGTATTGACCAATAGGGAATGCCCATTTAAAGTCCAAGGACACCATTAGACTTAACATGATAATTATTGGTATATTTTTCCGAATATCCTAACACACCCCTTCATCCATTGCCTGAGGTGGACAACCGTCTCACACACCTTACTTTCTAAAATTATATATATATATATATATATATATATATATATATATATATATATATATATCGTTGTTCCGGTTCTTCTCATTCCCAACGTCCCTTACCTCATATTGTGTTATATTTCAATGTTACAGTTTAATATTAATCTACTTGTAAGCGGTTGAAGAGAAACTACAAAATACAATATGTTCATACTATCCTGACTCAGTTGTTGTTTTGACTTTATTCAAAGGAGTAAAAATATGAAATAAGACTGTCCCAATTCGAAACAAACGTGGATTTAAAATAAGACTAGCATTGTTTGGAGCCGTCTACTGGACAAACGACGAATAATACTGTTTGTAATTTGTTTAGTCAAGATCAGTTCACTATGTTAACCATAATGATAGGATCGGTTGGCGAATAGAAACAATCATGAGACACACTTGTTTACAAACGAGACCGAAGGTCCTTGGTTTGAGTCCTGCGTGCGGGATCGTTGATGCGCACTGCTGAATAACCCTATGCTACTAGAACGAGACGGCTGTCCAGCACTTCCAGGTTTTCAGCAATGGTCTAGCTTAGATCGGTCCATTATTTAAACTGTGTAAAAAAGTTCATACCTTTGTTAGAATTGTGTCCATAGTAGATTTGAGATGATTAACAATGTTTGTAGCTCAGGATGAGGATACTGAATGTTTTTTTTTGAGCATCTCAGAGACCAACAAAGACGATTTCTTCTGAATTCACTTAATCAATAATCATCTGAACAGGTAATTAGCGATCACAAAATACAACATGCTACCCACGTTCGAAGTTTTCATAAATATAGGTTTTAAATTGTGACCAAATGGCTTCATTGAGACGGTTCGCTTAGTTCAGTTAACGCTCAACACCAACGACAGGCAAATACAAACGACTTGATTACTTCTACTGTTTATCTTCTGATATCAGCTTTTGTTGACAATTTATCTTGAATTTAGAAATACAGAATTCCTTGTATTAATTAGTAGAATAATGTGCCACATTTTGAATAACTTATTATTCTCTTATGTTATGTTGTTATCTTTATCAGGTTTTAGAACATAGTGGGCCAACTAACCAACGTGTTTATCGTGTTGGTGTTTATTTTCGTGGTCAACGATTAGCAACTGGTGAAGGTCGGTCTGTTCAACAAGCTCAAATGGAAGCAGCTAAAAAGGCATTGGAATTACATCAAGGTGAGTATTAGTAGTAGTCGTCTGTTTAAATATATATCATATAATGTTGATGTCTGTTGCGCGAACATTCGCTTGTGAAACCAGTTTCCAAGTTGTTTTGATGAATTTTTGTATTTTACACATTTTGTAAATAGAATACACGAATTGAGTTTTTAAAGTTTTGCTGAAACTTGAGTAAAACGTTCAAGAAAACCATGAAATGTTGTTAGCTGTTAACGGAGATAACAGTGTAATAATCTATTCTTTTCAAATAGGCTAGACGTTTTATTAACCACTATAAGAACTAAAAAAAGGTATGAAACCATAGCTACTATTAACCTCCTGTCTTGATGGGAACTTTGAATATATACAGTCTGTTTTGTCTGTTTTCTTTTTCGCGAAATCCCCGTCGCCAATTTGTTGTGTTTTTATGGCCCGCTAGTTATCACGTAATTTATTCTCCAATCAAAATACGACTTATTTGCCCTTGTACTGTACTAAATCAATGACGTTTGTTCGGTCTGATCAGTTTAGCACCCTATTGGTCCGTTGCCCGGCTAGCCCGCCCAGCTGAGTCCAGAATGCCAACAACAGCCTCCACTACGCGAACCATTTATTTCAGACATATTGGGTTTATAAATCAACCAAACAGACCGCAACGCACCATAAAATAGGAAATAACATTCATACACAATAAAGCCAAAATGTGGCTGTGATTGTGGGAGACTAAATAATAAACTGGGTATAATTTAAGAACAGTAAATCGTACATTAATAATCTATAGGTCAAAATGAAGCTTGTAATAAAGGGAATATAAATGTACACAATCTAATTACTAAATAGTTATACCATAGGAATATGTAGATAATATTAGTCCATTAAAATGTCTCAGAAGTTACTCGTAATTTAATCTTCGCTGAGATATAACACAGTCTCTTTGGCTTTATGATCGCCAGTCAACCGTTACAGCGGTTATTCAAGCAGAGAATTCAGGAAAACCTTTTATGGACAGGATTATAGCGAAACGCGGAACATTTCCCATGGAAAATCAAGTATCTGACTCCGGTGAACTATTAGGTTGTGTAGTGAAATCATCATCCTTATGTCACGGTATCTTACTAAACTTTTAGAACATCCATGTTGGAGCTACTCACGAATTTACCAGATACGGAACCGCGTACCTGGCTTCAAGCTACACTTTAATAGTGCAGGATAGTGGTACCAACTATTTCTGTAGACCAAAGTATATGAGGCCGGGTTTAATCCTGCAACTTAGTGGTCGCAAGTTGAGCGTTTTAATCAATGAACCATTTAAGTATATTGTTTGAAGACAATTATAATAAGGAAATTGATGTCACTTGATAAACCATTGAAAACTAGATAGCACTGAGTCTGTTTCATTTTAGTGTTCTCACTACTACTTCGCCAGTGATTGTGTCCAGAACCTGTAGGTGTGATAGAGGGTACGTGGTTTATTGCTAAAAGCGTTGGAATTTCAGCCCATAATTCACAGAACCAAGTCCTTCTCAGCTTACTTCGGTCTTGATAACCGAGTAGTATCAATAGCTGAGTGCACGAATCTGTTCGTGGTAAGTAGGTAACCACAATTTCTCATTAAAACTCTAATGAATTCGTCCCAAAGTTAATCACCAGGGAATAGCTAATTAGTGATTGTTTCTATTAAACTACATTTTGACTTGGGAAACTATCTTCAAACAAATCAATCTGTACAAATCTCTAATTTGAATATTTAAGTTGTGACCACTGAGTTATCAATTTCCAGATTGAACCCAGGGTACTGAACAGAAATGATAAATTGGTTCATAAAATTCCAAATCCTCACCAAGTGAAGTCATTGTAACGCGCTTTGTGCATGCCCAATTACCCTTTACCTTGATACACGATGTTGACTGGGCTACTAGAGCAAGTTTCAGGAAAGAAAAAAGCTAGCAAGCCAAAACATAGCATGAGTTCATGAAATCATTGACTGTTTAACTAAACCGTATTTGCAGGTGCCAACCACCTGGTCGGAGTTCCTTCGCTTGTCGTGACCAATAGTTGAAAATATTGTGAGATGACTTAAAATCGACCTCAGTAAAGCTCGATTATTTACTATTTTTCTCCCGTTAGATCCTGAATTTCAACATTTCATATTTTTTTCTCGATACTAGAGATTGATTCTTTCCTCTCGAAGCATATTCTATTTGTGTAATCTTTTTTTACCATTACTGATGCAAATAGTTCGATTGCTTCAGCATTCATCTTGTTGTGCTGATTGTATAATGCAGAACAATCTGGACCAATGCGTTTATGAGCTAGGCTCTTTTTTATTTGAATAAATGACGAACTAAATTCATTAAACATTGAACACTATTTCGAAATTTTCTTAAAATTTTCAACAGATACATTTCGTCAATTGGATTTTCAACGTTCAGTTATTTCAAAACGATATAAACAACCTTATATTAATAAAATATTGGATCAAGTACAAAATTGGGATGAACAATTAGTGGAATATTTTATTTCAGATAAACCTACATCTACAACAGTTATGTCCACCTTGACTTCAAATACTACTACGAATAATAATAACAATAATAATAACAACAATAATAATAATAATAATAATAATAATAAAATTACTCCTATAAATAATAGTGAAAACCAAACAATGAAACGATCATTTCTATCAAACCATAACAATGATATCAATGGAGAAGAATTATTATTGTATAGAAGTACTAAACGTCGTTGTTTTGACAAAAACATTCCTAATCAAAATGCATGTACAAATGAAAAAACACCATATCTCTCCGCCGTATCATCAACATCAAGATATGGCACTTTTCCTTCAATATATCTATCATCACAGACGTCAACTTCAACTAATAATAATGAGGAGGATGATATTGCAATGATCGACAGTAAAACAGAACGACTGAACGCGGTGGAAGACATAGAAAAAGGGAACGAATTGTTTGTTGTATTAAATAACAACGACAATGATGACGTCGAAGACAATATAAACGAAAAAGATGAGGAGGAAGAAGGCGAGATTGTAGAAGACGATGATGATTTTTGTGATAATTCTAGTAATGATATTCCGAATGAGAGACATTGTAAATATAAATTACTTTTAAAATGAAAAAAAAGACAAAACATTGGAACACTGTGTATCTTAATCGTTGTAAATACTACTATTAATAAAAGTAATAATGACAGATGCCAACCCTGACTAAGTAGTCGAATGCATTTTACTCTCTTTTCATTTGTTCGGCCTTTTCTTTTCGTAAAGTCAACGAATTATGCGAATTTTTCTTCTTGCTTAACTTAGGAAAATTCATTTCTTATTGACGGAAGAAAGTGATCAATCGAAGTTGAACTACTGTTTTATATTTTTACGAACTTAATTATATTACGCAATTTTGAATTGTAGTTATATATATCGCTCTGATGGAATTTGTCATTCTTAAAATACATTCATAATCTTGATATACAAATAGTGCAGTTTCATAAGTGATTATTTAATAGTAATTGAAATATGTTGGGGACGATATATCCCGAAAACCCATAGTTTGTAACTTTATCTTTGTGGAGCTTGTATGCAGATGTATGCGTAAGCATTCCTTACCACCCACGCACATAGTTGATTGGTGAACTTATCGTTTAAATGTATCAATGGCAATCAATTGACGAACTAATCGGTTAAACGTTTAAAAGCTCCAGGGCAATATCGATATATATTTGTATATATACGTTTTAAATTGTTTGTGGTGCTCGCTCGTTTTCTGGCTGTTTGCAGAATATGCTTTCCATACCAAGCTTGGACTTCTTCTAGATAGCGGGGCTGAAACGCGTCAATAGCTAGATAACTAGTCTTTGGTCACTGAGTCTTGTTCTCGTTCGCAGATTAAGTGAACTCGTGAAGCTTCAAACCTAACAAAATGGTTGACAGGTATGTCTCATGATTTTCTTTATTCGCCAACCGATCCTATCATTATGGTTAACATAGTGAACTGATCTTGACTAAACAAATTACAAACAGTATTATTCGTCGTTTGTCCAGTAGACGGCTCCAAACAATGCTAGTCTTATTTTAAATCCACGTTTGTTTCGAATTGGGACAGTCTTATTTCATATTTTTACTCCTTTGAATAAAGTCAAAACAACAACTGAGTCAGGATAGTATGAACATATTGTATTTTGTGGTTTCTCTTCAACCGCTTACAAGTAGATTAATATTAAACTGTAACATTGAAATATAATACAATATGAGGTAAGGGACTTTGGGAACAGGATGAATCCTAACAACGATATATATAGGATTTTAGAAAGTGAGGGGAATGTGGAAGTAATTTTTCGTTATATCTTTTGCTATAGCTGCTCTAAGGTTTTCAAAATATCCTATATTTTGTAAGCCTGTTCACTGAATATGACTCATTTGTGTGTGTATAATTAGATAAATTAAGTATCATTCCTAAAGGAATATATTCAACGAAATTAGGCAAAACTAAGAACAATGGGTCGCCCTAACGAGCACCAGTTGGGGTTACCATTTAGGATGTTAGTTAATTAGAAGCTCTGATTCGAACATAAGTTTCCAAAAAATGAAGCGTCGGAAAGTTATCCTACTTTCTCAGTGCACATTTCCGTGAAATATGTTGCGACACAACCTCTCTATCAACGGAATCGAATGCTGTTTTGAGGTCAAGTAATATGGTTATCATCGAGCATCGATTTCCGCATGTTTTAAAGCTTACCAGAATGTAATAACTTGATCAATAAACTCAAGATCAGGTCTACGATCGGCCTGTTTTTCTCATATTTGCTATTTATAATCTCTGTTCATACGTTCAGCGACTACGAAGGTTGATATTTTGGGTATTGTATTGGTCAAACTAATTCGTTTGTGAGGATTACAAAAAGATTCCTACATATTTTACGATCAAAAATTGAGACCAGTTAGGCTAGATAATGTCCAGCTTCCAAACTTAATTTTTAGTCAAATGAACTACTAAAACTATGTCGCCATGTTCAAGGTTAATTCACAGATCATTTAGCTCTCCCACGCTTGAGATTAAATATGGTGTTTCTAAATTTGTATCGATTTCCCATTCCGATTGTTTGGAAATATTGGGTAACACGAGAGTAGCTGGAGGGAGATTTAACTATTTCTGCAAGTGTTCTATCCGTTCTGGCTTTAATGAATTGTGAGTGGATCACTGTCTCGTCTTTTTCTAAAATAATCTAATTAATAGCTAACTGTTTAATACCTTTTACATTTGCGAGTCAGATTTTTTTAAGGGTTACCTAATACATCTGCTTTTCAAATCTCATCACGTACAACAACATTCAATAGCTGGAGATTTTTTTTCACTCAACGTTTTAATGTTCAACATCTGAGGGTGGTCGAGATTACAAGATGTTTCCCAGATAACAGACGATTTGGTAACCTTCAACGCGTTACTCCGTTGAAAATATTATATTACATTACAGATGACTTAGACCAACTTTAGTGAACATAATGTGTGACTTGTTAACAATAGCATCCTGTAACGTAGCTCTCCGTTACTGACAAGGAGTAGAATGCACTCGACACAACACCCTATACTGCTGTCGCGAATTAAAAGCAAATGGAACATAAACTGACAGAATACATTATTTTTCACAAATACTGCCCGTAACGACAACGTATACACTTATACTGCTTGAACAGTAATAAGTAATATACCACGAAATAGAAAACAAAGAGAAATATAGAGTTTTAAAAAGACGCGAAACAAGACCTAAGAATTACAAAGACGAAAAGTACATTAAAACATTCCAGACTCTGATAAAGATTCTAAAACTGACTCAGCAGTATTCAAACTTAATTCATAGTTAAAACCATCATCATAAGGTTTATGATAGGAAGGTAATAGAATACGATTAAAAAACCTTTTACAAAGTACAAAATATAAACGAAATGATTTTTTCTTGACATGATAATTAGCCATTTCATGCTTATCAATAAGGCATAGAAATTTTATCCAATTTAAAAATATACCAAAATCATGCGGATTACGATAAATCACTCCACGTTGTTTTAATATTTTAGTGAATTTTGCATTAATATGTCGTTCAATACTTGTCTCACCATTACTAATTAAATATGTATGCCAAATGCATAGAGCAATTACTAAAGGAACTGCAATTACACTGAAAATGAAACATCCTTTGAACAATGGAATGAATAATTTATTCGATGGTAAATATGTGTTATAGTTGAACCAAATCGATGAATACTTTACAGTGGTATTGATCTAAAAATTAAAAATAAACATCTGAATGTAATACAACACATTTCTGATAAACGGCTAGAATATTATTATTATTCTACAGCAATTTAATGAGTTGTGATTTTTTATGAAAACCAAGTTGGAAGTGTAAAGGACTATCCACAAATATAATAAGATGATGATCACATAGAACATAAATTATTAAATCCCGACAAACTGCTTAAATAGTAAACTTTTTGTTAACAAGTACAAAAGTTATAGGTCTAATGGTACATCAATCCGTGGATATATAGTGATGATATAGAATATAGTGTAACCCAGCATCAAAATACCAAGGGCTTATATTGAATAACTTTCAGAAATTCAGTGTAACAATCATCAATGTTTATCGTATCCAATTAAAATATACGTAATCAGGAAACTATAGCTTATGTTTTTAAAATTTAATCTTAACTCTATCGGCACTATTAAATGTAAACTGGTAGGAAAAGATCTCAATAAATATGAGTTGTTGAACCAAGTACAACTGAGGGAGTATAACCAAATAGATATAGAAAACATAAGATCTGGGACAGACCTATATTGGCTCAAGTTATCACACTGATACTTAAATTGTTATAATTCTCTCTTACGGTTATAACCCAGCTATTCCTATTGCTTAGTATTTTTGAACACCGATTCACTCGACAAGTCGCCAAATCAGAACACGATTGAACAGGAAAGAGATTATATTCCAAATAACAAGGTTAGATGGAAGTAGGAAGCACAATAGGGGAAACGTTAGTATATTTATAGTTTTTCACATGAGATTTTTAGTGTTCACTAAGTACTGACTAACGCTGATTGGCTAATTCTTATCCAATCAGCGTGCACCAAAGCAATCGTGCATTGAGCATGCTTTAATCCAGTCTATGTCCCGCTAACATAAATCCAGGAATTTTCGCCTTAAACATTGATGTATTATTCACTAAGCTACTGGGGTTAAATAATTATTCAGTAGGAAGACATTACTGGTCACAGTTTGAATTTTTCTGTAACTGGATATCAGCAGATGCTAAATAAAAACCTTTAGTAATAGGAGATATAACTTGAATAAAATGAATAAAGTCGTAAGATGAAAGTTTCGGAATAATTCCATCAAGAAAAAGTGGAAGTATGAGCAATTCCTTTACTTACTTTTAATAATGATATTTAAAGTTTCCAATGGTGAGACTACAATTTATGGACGAGCCGATCAGAAGCGTTTGAGGGAATTCAAGGTCACGGCATCAATTTTAGTACCTGATACTCAAATACGGTCGGTTCACAGCGGATCTTAGAGAAAGCGTGATAATTGAGCGGCTACAACAAATGGGACTACCAAGAAATTCCTTTGTTCGTGATTGTGGTAATCAAATGACTTGTGCGGCCTACCGCGATGATGTCTTTCGATGTAATGTGTTGGAGGAAGAAGTCTGTTAGAATAGGATTTCTTCGCTCGATCCAGATTTAAACTAAAGTAAATTATGACAATTGTCGCGAACTGGATAATAAAAGCACCAGTAACACTGACTGAAGCCAGGTACTACAATATATACGGAGGATTGGAGAGCGCACAGATGTCTTTATAGACTTCGTTATGTGCATCGTTTTGTATAGTATATTTTACTCTATACTAACTTTTCTGATTGGTTAATATTTCTCAAGGTTACTTAAAACTCGTTCAAAGTCGTCCATAAATTATAGTCTCGGCGATTTTTCTAATTGACCCCGTATTTTTATCAGGTCATCGCAAGCCTTTTCCCAAGTAACTCAGAGTAGACAGTAGCTCAAAATACGTGACATATCCACCCAGAACAGTTGACAACTAATTACTATTTCCTCAGTTGAGTGAGCACCTTGAACCAGTATTATGTGCCTAACGAAATCGTTGTCTATTCTGTCGTTTTACTGTACGAACAACAGGTACACACTTTCTCAAATACAGGCTCAACCAAAAGCCAATCACACCACAAAGGGTTTGTGGAGATTGCTGAATACTAATGTTTAAATTTTGGATTGATTTTAGTGAGACAAATATTAAAAACCATTTGATCTTTTACGACCAACTAATTATTATAATATACATCCCACCATCCAATTTTGACAATGTACTAGAAGAATTTTCAAATAAATACTTTTTCCACTTCATACTAGTCACACTTACTTGATTTTCATTAATTTCCACTAAGTAGCTTCGAAAGTCTGACCAACCAACAGTTATCAAATATATCCCACCAATACTCATAAATATCAATACTAAATAAAAATGGCGATGTGTATACAAACCAATACAATTAGCTGTCCATGGACAATGATGATCCATACATAATATACATGTTTTACATATAGCACAGTGATGTGCTCTTATTGGACGTGATACAAAACATCGTGAACACATAGTACTAGTAGTATTATATGGAATTCGTGGTACATTGCCGGGATTAATGAAAACAGCAGATAAATAATGGAAATAAATATTGACGATGATTAGATGACTTAATGTAAAATGTAACGAAAACCATGTACCCTCAGTACGTAAACTACACTTGATCGAATTATATCCACTATATAAATAACATGAATTCAAAATGAAAAGACGACGTGGTATCAAAACTGTATACAATAAACATAGAATCAAGCATAAATAAGTTAATACTAATGCGACTAGAGTTCGGCCGAAATTTTTCCGACCACCAAGGTATAACGAGAAACAATTTAAAATTGGTCCTAATATAAAAATTGTGTAAATGGTTGATATAAAATATAAAAACCAATCAATACATTGATAAATAGATTGGGGTGATGATAAATTTCTGCTTAGGTTAATCATTATCTCTGGCATGTATAAACGAATTAAACATTTTAAAATGTAAATGTGGTCAGAGAAAAATGTAGTTTTCATTATTCCAGAAAGAAAGTGCACAAATAGAGCTGAAAAATCGAGAGAAAACAAAGAGAGAAGTAAGTTAGGGTTTTCGCAAGAAATTATCGGACAATTTACCATTTTTATAGTGATTATTGGTTTGTTTAAACGGAAAAATATGAGTGCAAGGGGAACCAAATATATATGCACCACACTATCATCCGATTTGTGTGAGGGTTAGGATACTGCCCGGGTGCCCAAATCGAAGCAGGTGGTTTTCTTAGGCCACTCCTTGAGCCTTTCACCTAGAGGTTCAATCCGCAAGGCACTAGAACGACGTTAGGAGATGCAGTCTTATGGTAGCCGATCACCAACAATAGGTTCAAACACCATTTGTTCCCTCAGGATCCTGGGGCCTATGTCCACTACTGGTTTGGAATCAAGGTTTTCCATCTCCTCTTGGTGGATCCTCCATGTCCACTATCCTGGTTAAAGCACTTGAGATCCGCTTTTCGACCTTTTAATTTCGTAAACAACACTCTCACCACGAGAAGTAGTGAGTAGAATTTCCCTGGCAGTGGCTGTATAGACGTCATGTGAGAGCATTTAGAGAGGGAGAAAACTACCCAGCATCGGCCGTACCAGGGCACTTGGGAATTATATTCTAACCATGGAATTTTATTGTCAAAGTTCAACGGTCATAAAAGTTCGAGTTTACCTGTTTTTTTATAAGCAAATAAATACTAAGACTTATAGTTGCCAGTACCGATTGCTTTACGTCGTCACTAACAGACCACGAATTGGAGTACATGTAGATGACCAGAGTTCACTCGAGTGGGTAGGGAATGGTGCAACCCCCAAGCTTACATAGAATTTATACCTCACGGTTAGTAACCTAATACAGATTACTCTTTTGTAATACCCAAGACCTACGGCTATATTGATGTCTGTATAGAAAAAACATGACCATACTAAGGAAATGTATTATGGAAAAGTAGAGAAACGTATATTAGAGACACGGTTGCATAAGCTAGTCTATGGTGTATACCTAAGTCGTTTGCGCTAGTTACCCTTGACCTTGACAATATTCGACACTCCAATGCTTAGTGAATTGTCGTATAATGTAGAAAATATTTAGCTTCACAGCTGACTTGGCTATGGCTAAGTGGGATTTTACCGGCCCTACACACTTATTATACTTTATAACTTAGAGCCCCTCACTAAAATTTTCATACATATATACTTTATTGTAATGACCTATTAGCAGTTGAATTACTGACTGTTTGAACAAAGAAGCTTCATTCATCTAAAAAAGATAAACCAGTAATGGACTTATCAAAGTAAACAATTGTTGTAACAAAACAGAATGGCAACAATTGTCGGATGAAAATAAACTAAAGATTTTGCATATACTGACCTAGAACTGTGTATCCAATAAATTATACTGGCCAAACTATAAAAATGTGTGAACACCTAGGGAGTACGTAAAAACCGTAATAAAATACATTTTCCTGTTTATTAACCAATACTTGACTGATATATATGCAGTAACTGTTTAGCTTGAGTCTAAGCTGATAAATGTTTGCCTTTTACACAAAATTATCAACCTTCCACACTGATTTACCTACGATATACCTACTAATTATTTCATAGCTATAATCGGCAAGAACAACTACCTGAAGAAATTTATAGCTAAATATTTGTTTATTACAAGTGATCTCTGCTACCAAAGGTCAGGAGTAAACAAAAGAGGAAACATGTGCACAGTACTCGATGTTTAGTTAGTAAACAGATATCTTTGCTGCGCTACAGGTACAGAAAGTTCCCCAAAACGGTTGTAGGACGTTAACATTTTTATGACTATTCGTAAACATTCATTTGCAACCATTTTACGGATATATTTGAGGCTTTGTTGGCAAGAAATATTTGATTTTTATCGTAGTGAAGAATAGTTTATGAGAAAAAGCAGCCCAAAAACTATTCGACATTTGAGGTTCAACACGTCTTCATTAGTGTTGATGGATGCTCCATCGATGGTATGCCTATCGACATCCTATTTTTGAGTCCGTCACACGCTATTGTTTGTCGACCGGATTTTTTACTAGTGTTATCCAAGTTAACTGACAACTTGTTCCGAAGACCTGTCAGTAGGACAATGATGTTACTCAGCAAGACAACTGCGTCCGTGCTGCACGTGACACATACCCACTTTTGGTCTGACTTGCTGAGTTTGTTGTAAGAAGTTGCTGTCAGATCTGTGCATGTTTCGTGGAACCAACCTTTGCAGTTGTCGCACTGCATGCCAGTTGTGACAGCAAAACGGCATCCCGGACGTTTGCATGAGTTTTTCATGACTGTGTTGAAGCAAACTATGTTATAGATGCTTGCAAGAGCCTAAGACCTTTTAAAAGAAACACTAAAAAGCACACTGAAAACGGACAAAAATGGACAAAACGAGTGATATAAACTGAAACTAGTCTATACATGAAAAACAAAAAAACCCGAATAGTAAGCTGAGGCAAAACCACAGGTAACTATTTAATATAGTGAGACTCAAAAAAAAAGTAATCTACCGAACGTATAGCTCAGGATAGATTCTTTAGAACTGAAATGGTACTTTTGTTGCGTAAGAACACAGCAAAAGTTTGATAAATGCAAATCACGTTAGGACTAAACTTCCCGTTCGAAAATCGCGCCAGTTGTTGCCTATAAAGTCCTTTTTTCGTCTGCATGGGGAAATAGTGCGACAATTTCCCTTACTGTCACTGGATTGTCTACATCTCCCCGGACGTATGTCGCCAAATCACTCATCCAACTACCACAATTAAGTATACTTAATTATTAACCACGTTGCTTTTTATCGCGAGGTTTATCACTCAAAGCAAAAGGACACAAACTCAAACGACCCAATATAATGTTAAAGCTATTATGTTGCAAATTACTAGTACTCCCAAGAGATAAACTTTCATTGAACATCAGGTTTTGGTATAAAAATCAACTCACTTCAGAGAATTGCTACGAACTTGAATGGAATTCCGTAAACACTCCACACGATTGAAATCATTATAACTATTTACATTATAATACTATGTATGTAAATATGTACATAGTTCTTTGACTCACCGCCGACACTATAATTTATGGACGAACTAATCAGAAGAGTTTTAGGAATTTCAAGGTCATGGCGCTAAGTTCAATAAGTGAAGCTCACATACGGTTGTTTTACAGCAGATTTTAGAGAAGAGGTGATTGTTGAGCGACTACAACAGATAGGACTATTAAGAAGTTCCTGTATCTGTGGTTGCGGCAATCAAATGACTGCAGTACGATGTGCAGACAATCGTGACGAGATTGTGTTTCGTTGTTCGGAGGCCTCAGGCGGCCTGCTTGACTATCTGTGCTACCTGTTCCTCCGATCTAGATATTTCATCAAGTTATCTGTTTTGTTGTTTGTTTTAGCATATCATTATGTCTATTGTGCGCACAGTTTATTCAGACGCGTTTATGAAAAGTTTACAACCTTTCGCTGTACGGGATACAAAAAGGTACAATCACCGACATCATGGTGGCTGACAATATGCATTGAAACGAATGAACATTAATCAAATGTGGATTACCGAACTCCTAACATCTAACCGGTCATTATTCAAAATTTATCGTCACAATAGATCAAGGTATAAGAAAAGGAAACTTGTTGAAATACTTTATGCTGAGAATTCTATGTTGTACCAAAAATATAATGTTGAATAAAGCTTCTTATAATAATAATATATGTTGGAGAAAAAAAATGCTCGGAATGGCAATTTCTTCGCCCGATCACGACTCAGACTTAGGCAAATCATGATAGTTGTTGCAAACTGGATTATAAAGTCACCAGTAACATTGGCTGCGTTTTTTGCAGATGTTACAGTACGTGCAGCCTGGCATTACTGTATATACCGATGATTGGAAAGCGTATAGATGTCTCCATAGACTTGGGTTTGTGCACCTTGGCCCTAAATCCTAACTCTATGCACTATGATTTCAGGATATCTGAACCTTTATCTAACCTTAACCAGTTTTAATTCATGTAAAAGAAGAATATCCGCTGCAATTCATTGGTTTTTATATAATATATTTTTACTTTATGCAAACTCTTCTCTGATTGGCTAGTAGTCTCAGGGTTACTTAAAGGTTCGTTCAAGGTCGTCCATAAACTATGGCATGTACATGAAGTTCATACGTGAATATATTTCTTATATGATGTAATGAAGTGAACTTGTTCTCTCAGAAGTTCGTCAATCGCAAAGACCTGATGAACGACGTTATGATGTATATAATGTCAAATACATCTCTGAGCATAAGAGATGTTGGCTGGGTTCTGTATTTTTTCCAATTTCTTATACCGGACTTACCGAAAAGCATCCGAAGTGTCCTGAGGATGTGCACAAGTGTACAGCCAAAGTTCATCGGCAGTGGGGTTTACTACCATCTAGAATTGAAAACCGATCTGCTAAGATACGTTGAACTTTGGGTGTGTATTTTTGATTTTGACACTAAATTTATATATTATTGTGGATGAACCTTCTATGTCTAGAGGCTCCAATCAACAGTTGTGGCCTATACTAGGACGGATCATTGCCCCTAGGTTTAGTGACGTGTTCATGATAGGTATCTACGGAGGGAATACTAAACCGGCAGAATTTAACGAATTTTCTGCGGACACAATTTCTGGAATAAAAGAAATGGCTGACGTGGGTCTTTTTAGTGTGAAGTTTAATAAATACATAGCTATTAGGTTGGCGGCTGTTATGTGTGACTCACCTGCCCGTTCTTCCGTTAGGTACACGGCAAATCATAACGGTAAGGCAGGTTGCTATAGGTGTACTGTACTTGGAAGACGACTTTTCCAAATGGGGTATATACTTTCAGAACAGGTGAAACGTTCCGTTTTCAGACTCAATCTATTCACCATCAAGGACATTCTATTATGGAAAAGCTTCCTATTAATATGATTATAACTTTTCCATTAGATCCTATGCACATGGTGTGCCTAGGTGTTACAAAAAATCTGGATAATTTATGAATAGATTTAGCACGCAGAAGACTGCTGAACTTTAACCAGTGTGCAATTAGAGACATAAGTAATTTAATATCAGGTTGTGTGGCAAGTAATCCTTCCGACTTTCTGCGTAAATGCCGTGCACTAGACTTTGTATCGACATGGAAAGCTTCTGAATGTAGGTTGTTCCTTCCGTATTTAGGCCCGGTGATTCTTCAAAAAGCATTGCCACAACCTTTGTATGTTAATTTCCGGCGTTTAGCGTTATCCATTTGCCTGCTTGCACATCCTAAATTACATAATACTGTTGAAGAATCCGCCAGAATAGATTTACAAAACTTCCTTAAGGAATACGAATGGTGTTATGGGTCTGAAACCTTAGTTTACAATGTGCATTCGTTGGCGCACCTGCCTAACGACGTTCGTGCACATGGACCTTTAGATAGTTTTTCAGCCTTTCCATTCGAGTCCTATATGAGACAAATTAAGGATTCTGTGTACAGTGGGTTTGCAGTAGCTAAGCAACCAGCTCAGCGTTGTGCTGAAAATATGTACCTCTACGATAGGCTTCAACTTACTTGTTTAACAGATACTACCTCAATAACTTCATTTAAGTCAGATAACGTAGTAGTAGTAAACGGAAAGCCTGGTTTAGTCACTGATATAAAGGAGGATGGACTACCAAAATTTAGGTTTTTCACTGACCCACGCAATTACTTTGAAGATCCTTTCCCATCTAGTGATATAGGAATCTTTATGTGCTCTGTAGTTATCCATGACCACACATGGATATCGCTTAAGGACACTGATTGTAAATGCATAGCCATAAATTTTATCAATAATCTAGTTATAATCCCATTGTTGCATGCTTTAATGTAAATGCATTTTGTTTCATTAGTGTTGAGTTTGTAGTGACTCACATTTATCACGAAAACACGACTGGTTTAATAAAAACAATTATTATTATAACCAACTGTACCAGTGTTTGTTTTAGTGTGCTTTTGTTTAACTGTGCTAATTATAGCCATTTTGTGCTTCCATTACCTTCCATCATTGTTCCGCGGTTTTTGGTACTGTTTGCACGTACTCCTGTCTTCTGCTTCCACTTGTACCACTTCTTGGCACGATCTCGGTATTCGTTCAATACCACGAGATCGCCAACGAAATAAATCTGGTTACGCTCGATCCTCGCCTTCTGATTTATCTGGCACGTGTTTCTGGGTAGCGGTGTCCACAGTTAATCTCAACTCGACGCCACGCTACAATTGGTGATCCCAAAGTTTGGAACACGCCTCAACTCTGGTCAAATCTTCCAAAGAAGCCAATTCGGTGAGTCTATGATTTATCTATCCACGTCTGTCGTATATTTTCATATTTTTTAATATATAATATACTCGACATGACGGATAACGATAAGAATAGTATTAATATAATAGACTCACATGTACGTGTACCGAATCCTTGTTACTTTTTATTCGCGTGACGATGAATTCCACGCTTTATTCGAGAAATTTTCCCCTATTAACTATTCTCCTCGCTGACCCGGCTGCTTGGTACGGAATGCATACGCATAAGCATATCTGTCTACCACCCAGCACCAAATGGTTAAGTAAACGGTTTCACTGCCAACTTAAAAGTGCTATACGAGCACACGAAAACGGCAACTGGCACGAAACCTTACCGCTCGTTCTTTTAGGGATCACAACGAGCTTGAAGGCAGATATACAATGTTCCGCCGCTGAACTGGTATTCGGCACGACATTGCGTCTGCCCGGAGAATTCTTCACACCACGGAGCAGACCTAATTTCGGTAAATCAGACTACGTCCATCGACTGTCTGCATTTATGCGAACGCTGTCTCCGGTGTCAACTCGAATACAACATCGACAGGTCGCTCTCCCTCGAGAGTTATCTACCTGTTCACATGTTTTCATACGAGTAGATTCGGTACGCAAACCTTGGCAACAACCTTACGAAGGCCCTTTTCACGTGATCGCTCGTCACGAAAAGACCTTCAAGGTTGATCGATATGGACGCGTCGAGATCGTCAGCATTGATCGTCTCAAACCAGCACACGTCGATGACAGTGCCCTATCTGATAACCTGAGATTCAATGCTAGACCTATCAAACCTAGCGGGATCCTTAAATCTTCTTCAGGTCCCACGCTAGATACATCTGAGACCTCATTCTCACGTCCCAGTCAACAGCACGCGTCATCTGCACCGTCTACGGATGAGACGACAGTCTCACGTCCAGATCAGCAGACCACGCCGCCCTTGACTTCGGATGAGATTGCAGGCTCACGCGACGCGAACGAGACTACCGTCTCACGTTCCGGTCGCCGAGTACGGTTACCCGTACGCTTCCGCGACTAGCCGCACAGTTAACAAACGATACGGTGTAGGATTATTCCTATACTACACGCATGCTACACTCTTCTCTTTTTTGATTTTCTTTTTGTTTCCTGAGCCCACGCCTTCGACCATCTCCGTTTGGTTCCGTCGACTTCAGTCAACTTTGGCGAAAGCTGGACTGGCCACCCATGCTCTTGTCAACGCACTCAGTCGATATTTTGGTTTCGAATGCTTGGCATACGCTTGGTCTCGAACTTGGTCGTTATGGTCGCTTCTGGTCTTTTGGCTCAACGTGGTTTCGTCCTACGTCTGCAGCGTTTCTGGTCCGCATCCCTACGAACGCCATCTTCAGATTCTGGATACAAACCACTCTCGTGTAGCATGCCAACTCAAGCAACAAATACAGCACATCGCTCCTGGTACCGTTCTCCGAAAACGACCTTCGTTGGCAACTCGACGATCAACGATCGCTTTCCTGTTCGCCAATTCTTCCGTCCTACAATCGCTCGTCAGCCGATCAGTCCCACGATTCAAACCGCTATTTATCGAAAGTGTAAACCCTTTCTAGCGGGGGGCTCCTGTAGTGACTCACATTTATCACGAGAACACGACTGGTTTAATAAAAACAATTATTATTATAACCAACTGTACCAGTGTTTGTTTTAGTGTGCTTTTGTTTGACTGTGCTAATGACAGCTATATTTTGCTTCCATTCTTTTACTTACACTTTGATTGTAACTTCGCGCGAATTCGGTTACGTTCTGTAACCAAGGTTGTATTCTGGCACGATCTCGGTATCCTTTCGATGCCACGAGATCGCCAGCGAATACATCTCGATTTGGTTCATTAACTGTCTTCTGATATTTGGCTTCTCGGGGATTTTATGGATCTATTTAGTTACGTCCAACCCTCGTCTTCTGATTCGCTTGGCACGTGTTTCTTGGTAGCGGTGTTCATAGTCAATTTCGACTCGACGCCACGCTACAAGTTAATGACGATAAACCATTTGATTACATCTTATGTTATTTTTAGCCCACTAACAAGCGATACGTCATTGTTGACGTTCTCAGCAAGAAACAACTTATGATAGCATCCAAGGAGTGGATCGTAGGCAAGGAACCGATTTGTATGTCATCAACATTAATTTGATAATTGGTTCCTGTTACAGATGGCAATGGTTACCCGGTTATCGGGCGA